AAAAATATTGTGATGCATTCATCTCCATCAAAGGAGACCTTTCTGTTTATCAACTTGATGTTTGGTTCTAGACTCTAGTAGACTTGATTGCTTGTTGTTGTTTGATTCCACAGATCTGAGTGGGAGATCTCAAAGGTGTAGTAGCATCAATGGATTCACAGGGTCAAACAACTTCATTACAGAGACTCCAGAATGTGGAGAAGGTGATATTTGAAATAATTTAGAGCATTTACGGAATGACAAATGCTCACAGTTTATTGTGAACATGTCATTGATATATATAATTTTGTGGTGGTAATATGTAGAGAATTGTCAAGGTTTTAGAGTTAGCAGGAGGAGTCATGGATGAGCTGGCAAGCTCGACAGGTCCTAGGAAAGATGTGGTCCAAAATCACTGCCTGGAATTCATGCAATTAATTAAGGTATTCTTCTTCTCAATGTTTGGAAATGCAATTCCCCTTTATTTTTTTGGTTTAAATTTTGTCTACAGATGTAAGGTAAAAAACTTAGCTGCAGGTTTTCTTTAGATCTTTGTAATCAAGTTATTCAATAACAAAATGACAAGCATTGGGCCGAAAACAATAACAAAGTGATGAGTAGAAATTTTATTTTACAGGTTAACATTGAATGATTGGGTCACTGAATAAAGTTCTTTCACACATCAAGTTTTAATTAAGAAACCTAATAAAAAATGTCTAAAAGGCTTTGCTGACATCTTTACCAAGTATCAATTCAGTATGTGTTCATCCCTCCTTCCTTCCTCCATAAAATGCTGGACACTCATTTTCAGTGAAACTGCAGCATTACCTGTTAAAAACCTCTCACGTTCTAAATTAACAAAATGTGAAGATGAATGCTTAAGATGGTGAAAAGCATCACAAATAGCAGTTCATAAAATTGGTGTCTACTCATTCTCTCAATGATTTTAAATTCAGTATTTGTTCTGTTCTGTGACAGACCAGGAGACAACCAACTAGCTCAAATCCCCAGCAAAACTGCCTTTAGATAATTGGGGTGAAATTGTGTAATTGAAGATAAAACAAATGTACCATGCTCTAGTCGTGGCTTATTACAACCAATTTCAATGAAGCTCCAATCCATTTTGTTAGCTGAAGGATGCAAATTCTATGTAGTCTTGTTAATTTTTTTTTTTTTTTGTCTAAAAACCTTTTAGGACATCCAGGTGGCATTGCGTGATGAAATCAAAAGTGCTTGTGAGTATCGCACATTTGAGAAGTGCGATTATGGTTCAAGAATAACCAGTGAGATTTGTTTTAAGAAACTAGAATATGTTATATCGCAGTTGGATGGAATGAAACAGACGATTGATGAGTATGACACAGCTGTCTGAGATCTACATAGGAGCTTTCCTCAGATGAGAACCTTTGGTTTGAAATTCATTGATTTGGGGATTTCTGTATCTAGTTATTTTAATAGCCTCATGTCCAATTATTATGGACTCTACCTCGTTCATTAATTCTTGTTTCTTGGTACAGCTATGGCATGGGATAATGGATGGATATTGGATAACTATATACTAGATTGGACACAATTTAATTAGAAAGAAGCTCAAGTATTTGTCTAGCATCTTGCTTGAGTTGGGCCAAAGTAATATTTACATCAATACTAGATGTATGGATATTGCTAACAAAAATAATGGATCAATAATAAAATCATGTTAGAATTGTTCTGCAACTTACATGCTTAGTATCTTGGCAGATGTATAGATATTGGATATCTATATACTAGATTGGACACAATTTAATTAGAAAGAAGCTCTAGTATTTGTCTAGCATCTTGCTTGAGTTGGGCCAAAGTAATATTTACATCAATCCTCATTATTTTCATATCATCAAATTCAAATGTCATGCCATTTGGATTATTGAAAATTCGCTCATTTGCATATATGCACATTAGCTCCTTTCTATTGTCCATTTTCCTTATGTGTTAAGCAAATTTTTTTTTAATTAATCAAATCAATATCATGGCACTAAAAAATAATCTAATCCCTACATAATAAATCAAGCGCCAAAGCATTTTTTTTAATAACATTCAAGCATGCACATTTTAACACATGCCAATTTATTTATTTATAAAATTATAACAGCAATTTATTTTATTGCCCTCTAAAATTATGTTGAGATTTTTTTGCCTCAATAATGATTAAAGGCTAAATCATCATTAAACAATTAAAATTTTTTTGAAAAATAATATTTTAAAATACTATTTCATGATTAATTAGATAAGTTTCTTGGTATATTTGAACTAATCTATTCAATTTTTTTAAAAGAAGTTACTTGTAAAAACATAGCAACTTGTTAAAAATATCTATATTTTTTTCACCTAGCAACTTGTTAAAAATGTCTGTATTTTTTCATTGGAAAATTATATGTATATAAAATAGTTGGTGATTTTTTTTTTCTAGATTTACTAACCATACATAGCATGAAAAATTAATACAATTCTTATATAAATAATATTAATAAAATTACAAATATTGGTGATATTTATGTATCTTTTTATCATCTCGAACATATTAAAATTTTATATTTATTCATAGGATATAATTTCTAACATACTATTTGGCAGTGTTGTTCTAAAATTTTGTATTGACATTTTATTTGTATCACTGATATAATAATCTAATAATTATATACAACTTAACATCTTTGAAATGAAATCAAACATCTTTGAAATGAAATCAAAAAGCTATGTGGTGGGTATGATCTATGAACATGTTTTTAGAACAGTAGGGTCCAGTGCAATCAATTAATATTTTAATAATATACTTCCCTTTTTTTTGTCTTTACATAAAAGCATATAAAATTATTATTATTATTATACAACTTTAATTAATAAAATATCACTTACCTCTTCCCCCCCAAAAAAAAATCACTTAGCTAGAGTTTTTATATAAATTTATCATGTAAATAAAATAACCACTAATCATGCATAAAAAATTACCAGTTTTAATCAAAATCTAAATATTACATTTCATGATAATCAATAACATAGTAGCATCAATAAAATATCACAAGGCTACAATAACATAAAAATTTACATGCATAAAAAAAATTCTAAACATACATAAAAAATTAAACATTTTTATCATAATCAAAAATATTAAATTATATGATATATGTGCTTACTTTCTTAAATCTAATATCAAAATAATAAAAATCTTTGAGAGCCAAGGAGAGCCAGACCCAACACTTGTAAAAAAAAAAAAAAAATGGAGCAAAGGAAAAAAGAGGATGCAGATGCTGGAAGAACTCTTTTCAAAGCTTCTTAACTACATGTTCAGAAATAAGAGAAAGGAAAAAAAAAAATAAAGTATGCATGCTGATGGATAAGATACTACAAGAATCTGCTTAGAAACCATTAAGACTTGACACTGCACATAGCCATTGCTGAAGCGTGCTGTCACATTCCAATAGAAACATTTTAAAAAAATAATAATAAAGCGAGCTTGGTGTGGCACGAATTGCTTTCAGCAAAGAACAAATTCCCTTTACCATAACTCAGTTACTATAAAGGCCGAGTAATAGAATATTTGATCAAATTGGTTTGTGAGAAATCGATTTTCATTGTCAAGAATATGCTCCGTACCATTTTTGTTTGCTTTTTTTTTTTGGAAGCCTGAATGCTCCATGCCATTTTTACTAGAAATATTCTGACACAACGAAATAGGTTTGTTAGAAACCGAATTTGCCTTCATAATATGTAGGAAAATAATTTTCAAAGTATAGTATATGAGGAATTTCTTTTTTATTTTGAAGCATTTTGGTCAGAAACCCCAAAACAAATTGATTCGCTCTCATATTGCCAGCAAAGATAAGGTTTTTTTTTTTTTTGGGACAAAACAACAAAGATAAGTTAAGTCACACCCTTTCTTTCACATCAGCCTAAACAGTCAAAGAACTTTTTTTTTTTTGCCATTCGATCAATAGTTAACGTCACGCCGGATTAATAGACTGGGGAAGACTGGCCAGGTTTTTTGGATTAATGGGTGCTAATTTAAAGATAAGATACAGCTCCTCACTCTTAGATAATATTTTTTTTGACCATTTTTGCGCGTTAACACTTATTAAAATTATAAGCTAAAAAAAATATGAAAATAAAATAATGGCTGAATTGTACTTTTATTAAAATCATGGCAGATGTATGGATCAATAATAAAATCATGTTAGAATTGTTCTGCAACTTACATGCTTAGTATCTTGGCAGATGTATGGATATTGGATATCTATATGCTAGATTGGACACAATTTAATTAGAAAGAAGCTCTAGTATTTGTCTAGCATCTTGCTTGAGTGGGGCCAAAGTAATATTTGCATCAATCCTCATTATTTTCATATCATCAAATTCAAATGTCATGCCATTTGGATTATTGAAAATTCGCTCATTTGCATATATGCACATTAGCTCTTTTCTATTGTCCATTTTCCCTATGTGTTAAGCAAATTTTTTTTTTATTAATCAAATCAATATCATGGCACTAAAAAATAATCTATATACTTAGATCAATAATACTAGAATTGTTAGAATTGTTCTGCAACTTACATGCTCAGTGTGTATGTTCATTAATTCTTGTTTCTTGGTACAGCTATGGCATGGGATAACTTGTGGTGTTATGTCTGAATGGGATATTACCTAGCTTTATACTATAGATATTGGGAGGATATTGAGTATTATTTTTGAATGGTGTATTATTTTTGGTTACCTACAAGTATCTTCTTATTAGAGGCAATATTGTTCGAGACATAGTCAGATATGAAATATAGGCACCTCTTCTATCAAAAATTTAAACCTTGGTTTGCCACGTGATGAGAGACTTGCCTTTTAGATTTAGCTCCCGTTGGTTGGATGGTGTATTATTGCATCATGAGGTTTAATTAATGTCAATTTGTAGATACCGTGTTATTCTTTCTCTATATGCATGCATGATTTCTGGTCAATTTTACTAAAACTAATTCCAGAGATAGAAAAGGAGAAGAAAATTAGGGAAAAGAAACTTAAGTTGCATTTACATAATACAGTTGGAAGGAACATTGAAGCATGTACAATTACAAGCAAATGGACAGGATATACAGATTGAGGGTTTTTTTTTTTTTTTGGAGGGGGGGGGGGGGGAGGAGTGTGTATGAGCTTACATGCGGAAGAGGATAAATCAGGCATGTACAGGTATAGAGGAACTCATGGACACACAACCTTTTAAGCGTTGAATAATGACATTTTTATTGATTAAGGTTGAATAATGAGTGAGAGGTAGGCCTTCCTTGACATATTCATCATACTTTTCCAAAACAGACACAATTTCACTGAAATCTGGCCGCTTGGAGGGATTGGCCGCCCAGCAACGCTTTATCAGATGTGCGAGCGCTGGCTGACAATTTTCTGGCAGCGGTGGCCTTTGGTTCTGCCCAAAATAATTCAACCCCATGTTTCAGTAAACCATATAGCAGCATTATCTTTAATTTCTCATTATACACAAAAGCGTGTTACCGTCTCCTACTATTAAAAAGACTAGCTAATGGCTTGCAGGAATAAGCCCTGTTTCTGATGCTAGGTCCTGCAATTGAGATAGAGATCTGGTGCAGAACATATGGCTATATATATTAAGAACAAAAAATTATTCAAATCATTATAATTTACCAGACAAATGGCTACAAGGCAGAAACATTCATAAAATGACTATGCTCACGACTATTTATGGCATTATATAGTCCTTGACGAACGAATCGTCTTGACAATATGGAAAACCAAATTACCGCATATGTTAACTTAAACGGATAACTCAACTGTTTTATCTATTAAGCATGATAAAGTTGAAATGTTTAATATCGTAATTGAGTTCAAACAAGGAATCAATATTAAATGAGGTAAAAGAACAAGAAGAGGAAAAGAAGAAAGCAGGGAGGGGGTGTTTAAGAATGAAAGCATATACAGGAAATCCAACATACAATTTCCACAACCTATAGTTCAATTACAACTTTAGTATATGGGTTACGATCTTTGAAACCTAACAATTTATTTTGCAAACTTCACAAAGAGAAAACATTAGATATTATAGTTCAATGACAATCATTTTTTTGTAAAAAAAAAAAACATTAGATATTATAATTAAAACTAACATCTAAAGGCCACGCCACATGATTGTCGTTCTATACCTCGTTTCTTTATTATTTTTTGTTATCCCATTTGTTCAGATATTGCAAGACAATCATGTGACTTTTTGTAACTAATTTTAACCATATAACTTGTCTGACTTTTTGTAATATCATAATTTAAAGGAGTAAAATGTAACATTTTAGAGATTATAAACTAAAATTGTTATTAGGCCGCAGTTCAAGAAAGCTATGTATAGTTTACCCCTAAGAAGAAAGACATTTTGGCATAGTTATCTTACCTTCTCTGACACAGCAAAAGCAGCTTGCACAGGGGTCATTCCTTGGAAAGGAAGTAACGCGGTTGTGAGCTCCCAAAGCACAATTCCAAAACCATACACATCTACTTTACGAGTATAAGGTTTTTCCTTGATCATCTCTGGGGCCATCCAACGATACGTCCCCATGTTTCCTTTGGTTTCCCGGCACCGCGTTTCAAGACATGATGTGCCAAAATCTGCTACCTTAACCCTCATTTCATCATCGAGAAGCAAGTTAGTTGACTTGAGGTCTCTGTGCATTACACCTTGTGAATGAAGGTACTCCATACCCTTAGATATGTCAAGTGCTAGCCTTAGTATAGTTTCGGTTGAAAGAGAGTATGGCTCTTTTTTGTTCAGGTACATCCTCAGATTTCCTTGTGACATGTATTCTGTTATGATACAGTACACCGGTGGTTTTCTACAAGCTGCAATAAACTGTAAAAATAAGAGTATTTTAAGGATCAGTCCTTATTCATCCTCATACATAAAATAATTGCGTCAGATAACAACCTTCAACAGAAAGAACCCAATCTAGTTACTGGCTCTGCTAGTACCCAAAATATGACAAACAGAAAGTAAACTCCGTATAGGACATCAAGTAGATGTATTGAACATTAAGCCAAAAAAAAAAAATGTAGTTGAAGTTTAGAAGTCTCTCTCTCTCTCTCTCTCTCTCAGAATTCACTGTTAGAAGAGCAAACATCAACAATCTTTGCAATTTTGACAGTCCGGTGAGCGTTATGATTGAAGGTTAGTTCAATATATTCAATACCAAACTAATTTGTGCTTTCTAGCACGTTTTTACAAGTTTGATATGTAAAGAAGAGCATAACTACAAATTTTAAAAAATCAAACTCCATGAGGAAAACGAAATAAGAAGGTCTCATAATTAGTTTCTAATTGGAATGAAAGATGGTACCTGAACAATATTAGGATGAAAAAGACGTGAAAGTAAAGCAACTTCAGATTTAAATTGCTGCCCCGGTAAAGATCTTTTTTCCTCGTCCTGAGCTGGAATTCTAACCATTTTCACAGCCACAGCTCTCTGCTTGTAAATTCCACGGTAAATCCGACTGTGAGCGCCGGAAGCAAACTTGTTTCCGATAAAAAGCTGAGAAAGATCGGCAGTCCATTCTTCCTGATCCTCCTTCAAAGCCTCCCACGTCTCAAAATTCTCAGACTCCAATATCATCGACCATGATTCCAAGCTTTCGAAATTCTTCCTTTCCAAATTCTCCGCATCACAATTCAACTGCCTCTTGGACGACGACAAAGAAGAAGAAGAAGCCGCGGGTAATAACGATTTCCCCTTCCACTTTGGTAGCCGAAGTGGATGAAAACACGACGCCGCCATCAAAGCTCGATATGAGTTATTACAAAATAGTTACAGTGATACTTACTATCAAAACATTCCGTCAAAAGGGATTTAAATTTGAATCTGAATTTTCCTTGGGATCGTAGGAAGTGATTCCGAAACATGAGGGTTTTCTTTCATGAAACTATCGAAATAGATTTGTTCAAGAGTTGAAATTAGCCAGAAACATAAACTGGAAGACCAGTACTGCAAGAGATCACACGAATCAGAGGAGAACCAAATGCATGGGAATTCGAATTGAAGGACAAGAAGAGGGAGGTTTAATCATCATAGGATCAATAAGAAGGATTAGGACTGCAAAGATGAATTTAAAGGAGGAGGACGAGGAGGAAGAAGAAGTTGCAGGTTCAGGGGAGTCTCGTGACTCGTGAGCGATGGGTTCAAAAGTGGAGGAGAGAATATGCATGTTTTGTGAATGGACTATTTACGATATGATTCAGCACTTTTTTTTTTTTTTTTGAGAACAGGAACGGAGTTTAAAATAAGGTTTCAAAGGTTAAATTTTAAAAATTTATAACTCAATTTTTAAATTTTATAAAAAAATTTATATTTTATATTTTAATAATAAAAATAATTTTTTTATTTTTTAATCATGTTAAAATTTAAAAATAAGTTATAAATTTATTATAATGTTGTTATAAAATTAAAAAAGTGAGTTATAAATTTTAGAGTTTAATATTTTAGACTTAACTTAAATTATTTGATCCTTTTAAAATCTCTTTATCATTCTCTCTTTTTCCCCCTTTTCTCACAACTATATTTGTAATAAGTAATCCTATTTGATATATCATCACCCCTATCAGACTGAATGTGAGCATATTTATGCAAAAATTTGAATATTAATTTGTTCTGTTATAAACACTTGCACTAGATTTAACCTCATTTGTACTTTCTCTATTTAAAAATGTAAGATATTTTTAATTAAATTTTATCTCAATAAAGTAATTACTTACTTTTTAACTAATCCTATCTTTTTATATTTATCTCTATTAAATACTTTGCAATAAATATAAAGTCATCATCAATAGAGTTTTTTTAAGAAAGGCAATGATTATACTTTAAAAAACTAAAAATACCTTATATTTTTAAACATCCAACTCCTCAAAAAATATCTTACATTTTTAAACAGAGGGAGTGTTTTTTTTCTTTTTCAACATCATAATTCATTAATGAAACTTATTTTAACTCTACAAAAAAATTACTTTAAAATTATTTTTTTATTATTTCACTTCTTAAATATTTTCCCAAAAATGATAGTTAAGTCTCAACTTTAAATTTATACTAGTTAGGTATATGGTAAAATTTTCTAAAAAATAAATTGTATATATTGATTTAAATAAGTACAATTTTAGAAATTTCAATTGTAGAGAAGATATTTAAATTTCAAGTGTAAATTTTAAATTGCATTTAAAATGTTTATTTATAATTATTTAAATCAATATTTGTAACTTATTTTTAAAAAAAATTATGAAAATCTAATTATAATTAATTTAATGTTTTGGGACTTAACTATCATTGTCTCTTTAGTAAATGGAAGATATTTTCTTAAAAGCATATATTTTTTAGAAAAAATAAAACTCCAAACTATATTTAATTTACATTTTTATATTTATAATTTTACTAAAAAATGCCTTGTAAAATGTAATGCAATGAGTAGATACAAAATTAAAAAACATTTATAATTTTACCAAAGTTTAAATTCCTATTAAAAGAGATGTCTGTATTTAATATATAATAGTGTTTTAAATAGGATTGCTTTTAATAAGAGAATATTTGTGAATAAAAAAAAAAACATATATAGACCCTCGCTAAAGTGGATGGGATTGATCTCTTTTAATATATTCAAATCTTTATGGATATAAAGAAAAGGGAAAATTTCTTATCAGAATCAAATAAGATAAAGACTAAATATAACAGCATTAAAAATTGAGTAAGAAAAGTTACAAAAGAAAAATTGCAAAATAAATCTTTCACAGATTTCTTTAAGGAGTTACAAGACATGAAAGATTTTAAAAAGTAAGCACGAAATATGTGACAAAATCAACAAGAAAACTTACAAATTAAGAAATACATCTTTGAAACATATCTTCCATTTGTTTCTAAAGAGAAATTTTCCCATAAAAAATATAACTTGATATTTGAATTTAGATTAATTGGTAGTAGCTTCAAAATTTAAATGTTAAACAATCATATATTAAGAAATAAGATATAAAGAGATTAATAATATTAAAAAAATGATGTAGTCATATATTAAACAATCATATATTAAGAAAAAAAATTTAAATAATTAATAATAGCTAGGCAGGATTCTTTATAAAGTTATTCACCAAAAAATATTTAAAAAAGTTTTGGGATAGAATTTTATAGATAAAAAAATTATATTGAGAAAAATCATATAGTCATCAAATTTAAATTATTGAGTGGTCATCAATGAGTGATGTGACATAAGTGGGCACTAGGTATTGTGCTGGCACTAGGTACTGTGCTGTCTGCAATTCGCATCCTCTGGCAAATATGCTTTGGGACATATGCCTTCTTTTGCTCTCCTTGACTCCTACTCTACTCCACATTGTTGCGGCCCACAAAAAAGTCATGCAATTCAAGTGCGGTGGCAAACACTTGCACAATGAAACATCACATTACAAATAAAAGTTGATATAATTAATAAAAATTTAATACATAATTTATTATAAAAATGTAGAATCAAGTCTGGTTGTTGATGTAAAAAAATTTTTTATGAGGCATTTGTAAGTATCTTTATAATGCTCTTTAAACCTATAAGTCTGCTTTGATTTTGATAAATTTTTAAAATCTTACTCATCTAAATTTTTACTAGGCCTGTGAATTGAACAAAACAACAAATACATAGCAAAATTATCATTTTACCCCTTCACCTCTTGTCTAATAACAATCTTGATAGTTTTTTCTCTTTTGTTTTTTTTTTAACAGAGAGATCTTTTTATATTGTTCACTAAAGAGATAGAAATAAAGAGCCCATTTGTTTAAAATTAAAAAATAAGTAATTTTTATATAATTTAAAGATTTCATAAAAAGATATTTATTTTATAAAAATCTTATAAAAAAACATATATTATTTTATGTTTTGGTACAGTAATGAAAAAGTGATTATTTATTAATTATTTTTAAATTTTATAATATCTTTTTTATTTTTATTTTATAAAAATAATTTATCATTTAAATATTTTAAAATTTTATGATATTTTCAAATATTTTTCCTTTTTAAAATGTTTCTCTCATCTACTGTATCATATTATTTTTAAAGTAGCTTTTTTAAATAATCAGAAATATACTTTTTTCTATATTCTAATTATTTTTAAAAGTTTAAATAAACATAATAAAACTCATAAAATATATATTTAAAACAAATAAGTGATTATTTTATAAAATACGCTAAAACAAACAGGCCCAAAAAATCTAGGTGATAAGATAAAATTTTATTATGGGAAAATGACAATAAAATCTTATTGAAATATATAAATGACAATCAGGTTCCTCAATATGTCATAATTCCTCTGAAGCCTTAAGTACATTTCTAACATTACTGATCTTAGGTTAAATGACTCAATTGCCCCTTGCTTAAAATAAAAAAATAGCGCGTTCATGTAGAAAGTTATGATTTCTTATTCAATTCTTGTAATTGACAAGATAAAAATTGTGATTACTTAAGTAAAAGTTATAACTAATTATTTTCATAATTTGGACTTCAATGATGAAAGACATTTCATGTGAAAAATTTTGATTTCTTATTCAATTTATATTATTTGCAAAATAAAAGTTGTGATTAGTTATTTTCCTGACTTGGACTTCAATGATAAAAGAAATTTCACATCAGAAGTTGTAATTTTTTGTTCAATTTTTGTAATTTACAGAATCAAAGTTGTGAGTATTTAAAAAAATTATGATTGGGATTAGTTATTTTGAAAACTTATTTATCAATTATAAAAGAAATTTCTGGTAGATAATAGTGATTTCTTCAATTTTTACGATTCATAGAATAAAAAAATGAAACTAGACCCATTATTTTTATTTTAAACGAGAGATAATTTAGCCATTTAACTTAAAATCATGAATGTCAAAATGATATCCAAAAATTTAGAAAAATTATGACATTTCAAAAAATTTGATTGTCATTTAAATATTTATGAAACTAAAAAACTAATAAAAGTAAAAGGATTATACTCATAGTCTAATACATGAAGTAGTTGACTTAGCCAATAGAATTAGGTTTAGTGAAAGAGGTTAGACCCTCACAAAATAGCAAACTAATGTTTGAATCTTCATTAAAAGAGGTGTCCACATTTAATGCCTGATTGTGCCTCAAACAGGATGTTGCCTCCAATAGGTGGGTGCTTGAGCAATAAAAAAAATTAGTTATCTCATTGATGAATATTGATATTGATTGTTATAAAAATAACTTATTATAAAATTTTTTATGAAGCTGTTATTATTTATAGTTGTTTAAGTTATAATGTCTTTACCAACTTAACATGATAGGTAAGGCTTTCATTTCCTAAGTTTGTGTTTGGAGATTCTTTGAGTTAAACCCGACTCGTATGCATTTCATGGTCAACAGATAGATCAGACATCAACCAAAAAGACCAATAATTCAAAACTTAAGCTTGGGAGTTGTGATGCTCTTGCGTTTCCACCCCCTTCGTAGGGTTAAGGACCTATTAGGGTTCTTTGAAACCATTAGGGTTTCTCTCTCCTTTAAGAGAGTCTCTTTAGTAAGGAGAGCCTCTTCTGCTTTTAATGGCAATGAGTCCCAAAGCTCTTCTTCATGGCAGTAATTGAGGACTCATGTGGAAGAAGTGTGCGTAAGTTGGGTGCGTGGATGTGTTAAACCATGGAGGTGGATTTGGGGGTGAAGGCAGGTTCAATGACTTCAACATCAATAGTAACATTGGTGAGGTTGGTTCTATAGTCATTCTCCTAGTAATAATCGAAGCTTTAAAGATTGCACGATTGAAGATTAAAATGAAGAAGATGAAGAATCTAATAAGGCCAAAATTTGAGGTTAGGGAATAGCAAGAACAAGACCGATCAGCAACCATGGTGATTTGCCTTTGCATTGGTTTTCTCATTTACATAACCAATGTGAATGATTTGCGATGGGTGCCTCCTAGTACAATGATGGGGATAACTGCCAATTTGTGTCGTCAATGATGTGTTCAATGGCTATAGAAACAATGTCAATGAGAGTTCCTTAAAAGCAAGATTGTCAAGATAAGTTTAATCTCATTCTTAGTTCTCCCTCGTGCTATGACTTTGCTTGTCTAATTTCACCTTTTGTTTGCAAAGTTATTGATGATTTGAGATGGGTTCCTTCTAGATATTAAAAATTCATTTACAATATTGTGGAACGTT